AAACCCAGGCTCCCGAACCGTGTAACTCACTTCAAAGTGAACACACACCTCCATGGGAACAGCCGGGCCTAGGAAACCTCAAAGGTAGGGCAGGGGATAATGACCAGCACCCTCCAGTCGGCACCAAGCTGAAGGACATCCTCTCCAGACACTGGGATGCCTTAGGGTTTGCTTCAGGCAGAAAAAAATTGAGGTCAATTTATAAGTCTCACGGCTTGGCTCAAGTGCTAAGAAGTCATAGCATCATAATGACAGCCAGGGACCTCATGCCGGCTAGGCCACTGTCTTTGTTGTGTGGGTGAGGACTAAGGGCAGGAGGCAGGAGGTGGCCTAAGTCATGCAGTGTCTTAGAGAGGCTCTGGAATCAGGTCAGGTCTTCGTGTTCCAGTAAATCCTCGGAACCACTGTTTCAACAAAGAGTAAAAGAAACACGGCCCCACTGGGGAGGCAGAGCAGGGATGGAGCACTCTCCAAAGGCGCCAAACACCTGGCTCCCTCCTCCTCCTCCTCCTCCTCCTCCTCCTCCTCCTCCTCCTCCTCCTCCTCCTCCCTCTTCCTCCTCCCTCCTCCTCCTCCTCCTCCTCCCTCTTCCTCCTCCTCCTCCTCCCTCCTCCTCCTCCTCCTCTTCTTCCTTTTTCTCCTCCTCTTCCTTCTCCTCTTCCTCTGCTTCCTCCTCCTCTTCCTCCCCTTCTTCCTCCTTTTTCTCCTCCTCTTCCTTCTCCTCTTCCTCTTCTTCCTCCTCCTCTTTCTTTTCCTCCTCAACTTACATTCTATGTCTAACTCAATCCAAACATTTCCATCCCATTAGCTATCTTCTATCACTTTACATTAGCACTGGTATTTCAGTAAGTTTTATTTTTCTGACATGATCTGAAAGCTACTGATTTGATTACATTCTAATTGCATTACAGTAACTAAAACAAATACTAATAGGGTGTGAACCTAACATAATAAGATAGCAAATTGCTATCACAGGGCCAGTGCAGGCTGGAGGGAAATCTGCTGATTCACTCAGCACACATGTACTACTGCCGTTACGTGCTGAGCATTCGGCAACGTCCTTTTGTCCACTCGTCTCCGAAAATTAATTTTGGATAAGAACAGAAAAAAGAGTGTCCCAGCCTCCTTGAGTGCTGAGTGAGTAGCCAGACCATTACCTGGAGACAATAGCAAGGGGGATATATCTGGCCCTGCAGGGCCTGTGCGAAGTGAGGCTCCAGGGAGCCGCTGCTGCCCACGGACTCACATTCATCTGGGGCCAGACGAACCAACAGGGTTCCCCACCAGCAGTGATGCTGGAAACCAAGGGGACCCTTCCCTGTCTGCGCTCTTCCTGAGTCTCCAGCCAAGGCTGGAGAAATTGGACCACTCTTCCCCAAGTTGTAAAGTTTATGAGTCCAAATGTCAACATGTCTTTAAGTCATCAAACCAAAGTCATGATGTCTATTCGATAAATACTCTCACCGGATCATGATAGTTCCGTGTCTGTCACGCACACTCCCGGGTTCATTGCTGTCCGTATGTTTGTAGAATATTGTGAAATTGCCTTTTGCAGTCATGCAAGATAGTGGTATCAATTCTGAATCATGTTTAATTGCATATAGGTTTATCGTGTCAAGGAAATAAGTTAATATGTGGAAAGTGTTCAAAAGAGCCCCTGGCATACAGTAAGGGCGCAACAAATGTCAGTGGTTATTACTGTTGGCTATTCTGCAAAGCCTACTACCAAATGTAATAAAAATCAATCTCCAATTTCCTGTATATAACCATAAAAGAAATACAATATGTCCAATAACGGAAATGAAACCAATATAATTTAATGTGTTCAGTAATTGTCTGAATTGCAAATATTTCATCACAGGAGTATACCTATCTGGATGTATCAGTGATAAGACATATGCAAATATTTTATACAAGGAGCCTAATCTAGTTGATCAGTCACTATTATCCTTGTCTTCCATGGTGGCAGAACAGGAGAGCAGGGCTAGAGCACACACGCTAGAATCACTGTCCACCAACATTCCGGAACTCTGCCGTGGTCCTCCTCCAACCCTCTTGATCTCTCTACTCAAAACTCCATTCCTTTCAGAAACATTCATGGCACATTTTCAACAGGCCAGAAACTGTGCTATGCATTGAAGATGCAAAGAATAATAGCATTCCTGCCCTGAAGCAGCTCGCAGATCAGGGGCGACAGACACACAAAGAGCTAAACATAATGAGCTACGGTAAGTGCTGCACCCCAGACTGTGAAGGAAGGGAGCAAGGCAGAGAGCAAAGGGCGGGCTGGACTATGGAGGCGCAGCACAGGAGCAATCGCTTCTGCCTCATGCGAGGGGACACTTCAGCAAGGAACTGCACCCAGAGCTGTTTTCCCAATGAGGCTACACACTTGCCTTAGGAACCAGCAAAGCAGAACAGAATAGGAGGAACAAAGGAGGAAAGGCAGAGTAGCTCATCTTTGATGAACTTACTTGAAAACTTAATTAGAAAGTTAGGATAGGGGTTAGTTTCAGCTCGCGTATGTTTACTGTCATAGTGAAAACTTAATTTTAAGTTCTAATAATCTTTTAAAGGGTAAGGGTTAATACCTAGGGCCTTGAAAGAAATTGGTGTGGCTCCCATTGAATCTTCAAGAACTGAAGTAAAATTTTGCAAGGCACAGAAGGAAGGAATATAAGCCCCTCAAAGAGAAGCCATGGCAAAGCAGAGGATGCCGAGGCCTAAAAGCACAGGACATTAGTATGGTACCTGCTGTAAAGGCTGCCCGGCGGGGCCCCAGAGGATGGCTGAGCTCTAGGCTCACTCTCAGAAGTCCCTTCCCCACACTGAGGGAGAACTCCTGTCTCTTACAGGAGCTTCTTAAATCAGGAGCCTTTAGGGGAAAAAAAATAGAGAAAAGCCTACAAATTAAACTCAGGGAACCACGTCTCTGGCTATTCCCAGGCATCTCCCAGTGGCCGCCTCCTTCCACCCTCTCTAATCCCATGAAGACACTGTTGAGCTCTCTGGCCTCCTGCTATCTCAGACAGAGCTCATCCCAATGGGATGATTTTCCTTCTCTTTGCAGGGGTATTTGAATGGGAAGAGGGATGCTTGGGGAGTTTCTTTTGGACGGCTTTTGTTTAAATGACAATTTTTCAACAAAGCATCATCTTTCTGGGTCTGTTGTCTTGTTTTGTTTTGTTTTGTTTTTTAACATATTTCCATCTGAGTTTTTATTATCATTGTATCTCTTCTTTGTTCCCTAGCTACAATGGGTTCCTAAGCTTCCTGGCTTATGGGACCGGTCCACAACCAGCAGTGACAGTGACCCACCCTACCCACCCTGGCATCACCATACCAGTCACCCATGCTGGGGAGGGGGAGGGACTTCTGCATTGGAGTATATTCTACGTGATGAGTGGGGGACCCCAGAAGCAGCAATTCAGATTTTCTCGGGTGCTCCAGTTCCTCCGAGCACTCCCATCAGCCCTTTGGTTAACGTAGGTGGGAGCAAGAGGTCAGAGCTAAATTCCCATCCAGCGGGTCTGACAGGTACATAGCGTGTAGCAAGACTAAAAGCCCCAATTCCACTCCTTAATTAAAAACATTTTTCATTCCAAACCTATAAAAGGCAGATGTGCTGCATTCCCCCAACCCCAGATCGCAGTTCTATATTGAGTTCTGCAGCTCCAATTCTTCTTTCCCGGGGCTTGAAAATACAAGGCCGTCAAAGCACAGTGTAGCGGGTGTCTCTTCCTCCACCTCCTCCTCTCCCCCTCTGCTTCCTCTTTGGCTGAGAAGCACTCATTTCTGTCTTTGCAGGGGTTATGTGTCCTAAGCGCCTCATGTCCCCTCCTTGCTGAAACGGTACGGGATGGAGCCCACCTTCCAGGATAGACAGGAGGCAGCTCCTGTATTTTATTACCCTAAAGTGCCTTCTAGACTGGATTGTAAAAGGAGGAGTCGGAAGCTAATGCTGCAGTCCTCGCTTGATCAGCCACACTGCGGCTGAGAATTCATTCAGGTCCTCCTCAGTTCAGGTAAATCTAGAAGCCTTGTCTTTAGAGGAAGGGTGAGGAAACCACGTACCAGGAGGAGGTCAGAAAAAATGACAAAAATACTTGTGTGTGGTGTTTGCCTGCCTCAGATGAGTCTTTACTCTTCAAATGCCTGGGGTTAATAAATTCAGTTTGATAACATGATTCAGAAAGTGGCAAGTCAGATTCAGACTCTGCTTCCAACGTTCGGGGCTCATTATGGCTTCGGTCTGGACTCTCCTTCTCAAGCTCCTGGGAGGTGGTGGAGTTGAAGGGGTGGGGCCTAATCACAGGAAGCTAGGCCACGGAGGGCATGCCCTCACAGGGGATTATGGGACCCAGCACCCCTTCTCCCCCTCCATCTTTTCTTCCTGCGTCACCATGAAGTAAGCAGGTTCCTTCATATGATGCCCACTAAGCTGTGCTGCCTCACCACAGGCCCCAAAACAAAAGGGTCAACTGACCATGGCTGAAACCCCCAAAACCATGAGCCAAACTTAACCGTTCCTCCTTTTAAGCTTTTAAGTTATCTCAGATTTCTTTTTTTACAACAATGGAAACCTGACTAATATGTACTAGGAAATCAGCAATGAATTACTCAGCTTGGGTGGATGGAGAGAATCACTTTACCATTTGATTTTCAATTCATCTGCCTTCTAGAGGGTTCTCAAGTCTTCTTGGTTTGCTGTGTTTGCTGTTTTATGCCCAACTCAAGTCCAGAAATACCAAGTCTGCCATCCTATTTCTCCATCAGGCCCAGCTAGTGCCCTGAATTTCAGAGCCGCCATAAGAGGACTACTGACCAATGGGTGAGAGCTCTTCCACCTGCCAGGCTTATTGTTGTAGCTGGACTTCTCTGTCTTGGTGAATTTTCTCTTTCTGGATTCCAACCAAATGGTCTTATTAAATGTTAATAAGGAAAGGAAACAAAAAACAAAGGACTGTTTTTATGAGTAATACACAATGCAATCAATAGACTTGAAGGAAAAGGGAGCCCAAGGCACCCACAAGACACTTTTAAGGTTTAATTGTTCCACAGAATTTTAAGCAAGTAGTAGAAAGAAACTAAATTGCATGGAACCGAATATTTTGCTCCAGGCTTCTAATTTATCACACTTGCCAGTTCCCAGAGGCAAGTGCCAGTGCTGCAGAGCTCAGGACTTTCCAGCACAGACAGAGACTGCATTCCATGCAAGCTAAAGAACCTCCTCATCTCTTAAATGGGGCAGTTGATCATAGTCTTCCTTACCATGCACACACTGGGGTTCAAGGACACAGCCAGCCGAGCAGATCTGAAAGATAACATTTTACTGTTTAGTAACATGCACACCTTCTTACTTATTCTTATTATTCCTCAAAAATGAAATATCTTGGGGATTTATTGGAAATACAAGGTCCTGGGAGACAGGGAGCTGGAGCCTGGGAGGAGGCCATGTCTAGCATCAGCAGGCGTAAGAAGCAGCATCTCTCAACCAAGGAGGGACAGGTCCGAATCCTGCGGCCTAGAGATGATTTCCCATGCTGCCTACAGGCTGGAAAACCTGTTAATGAGGCATGCCTGTTTCCTCCTGGCCAGACCACTCAGGAAAGAGGGAATCCTCAAGTCTCCAGGAAAAGCCTGCTGTGGCTACTCTAACACACACAGCAAAGTACAAGTGAGTCACACCTGTCCCATCATCGTGCTTGGGACATGAGAATTGGTTTTCTATTCTGAGCACCAGTGCTACATCAGAAAACAAGAGGATGCTTGACCACAGGGAAGTACTCATCACTGCCTTGGAAATATTTTGCTGCAGAGGAGTTTGAGTCAAGAGGGGAAGGGGAGCAGGAGGTCAGGGAGGATGGACCGTCAGTTAAGTTTGGTAGATCAGCCAGAGGCTTTAGGGAGAAAGCCTCTTTCTGTTTCTCTCTCTCTCTCTCTCTCTCTCTCTCTCTCTCTCTCTCTCTCTCTCTCTCTCTCAGGTTCAGCTTCTTTACCTGTAGACAGAAATAATGGTTCATACTCCATTGATTTATTCTGATGACTAATGAAAGAACACATGTAAAGTAACTTGGATTGTCCCTGGCACTTAGTAGGTGTTCAATAAATAATGGTATTACTTTAATAACAACAATTAATAATTGCTGGCTGAAAGGCCTATGGAGAATGCCCATGGAACCTCAGGTCAATGCCCTTAGTGCATTAAAGGAAAGTGAAGCTTGGGTCGCCTGCCAAGAGAGACACCCAGGACTGATGCCACACAAGTCTTTGCAGAAAGCTCTTGCTTGTGTCCCAGTTTGATCCTGGAACCTACTCAGAGGCTCAGTTCAAGAGAGTGTTTTAGTAATCATACAGCTCTTCTCCTGTATCTATGCTACCATAAAAAAAAAGTTGTGACCAGTGCAACAAAAACTTAGCATATAGTTAGCATCAACTGCAGTGTGGTAACACAGCAGCTTGGCCCACAACCTGGAACCCCAGAGCAAGGCGACCCTCAGCCTTGCTAGGCTCCACCCCCACCACCCGTGCAGCCACGTGCAGAAACGTGAGTGTACTGTGATGTCTGAAGAAGTGTTTGGAGAGTTCTGGGGAAGTGCTCAAAAATGACTGCTTAGCCGTCAGTATTACTGCTGTTGCTCTCTGCCAGTTTGGCTCTTAAATGTCCCCAATGACATATACATTAAAGACTTGGATCCCAGTGTGTGGCAGTGTGAAGACATGGTAGAATGTTGGGGGAGATGGAATCTAGAGGAAGGAAGTTAGGTCGTTGGGAATGCGACCATGAAGTGGATATCGGGACTTCTTTGTCTCTTTATTTGGATCCTGTTTCCTATGAGGTGAATATGGGTTCCCACCGTCATATTCTGCCTCCCCACAGGGCCAGCAAACCATAGACTGAAACTTCTGAAACTATGAACCAAAAATAAACCTTTCTTCTCTCTAAGTTGAGTACCTTAGGTATTTTGTCACAGGGATGGGAAGCTGACTAACACACCATTCCACTTTCAAGAATCCTGGGGAGACATCCAGCCCATAGAAATAACCAAATTTTCAACTCTGGTGAAAAAAAAACTAAGAAAATCAAAGGAGAGGCAGCCATCAGAGCAGCAAGGTGATCCTCCTTACTCTTTGTTTTAGGATTTAGCTTAACCCATTTGCATACAAAGTGTGGCACATTTTGAAACAATAATGAGTTTTTGTGGCATGAAAGGCTAGGAGGGCCCCTACAGGAGCTATATTTAGGAATAATCTGGCTCATCACTCCTCTACACATACAGCAACTTGACAAGTACAGCTGGGACCAAGACTTTCCATGGAGAACTCACCTAGTAACAACTTGCACCATAACTGTCCCTACATAGAGGTCCTAGTGATGAAGCTTCTATGCCACCAAACAAAGGTCTGTGAGTGACGGTGTGACGACACGGTCCAGCTGGCAGTGGTGGGACCCTGGCAGTGTTCAGGCTATAGGCATGGAATAGGGTAGTACATGTGGTCCTCAGGGCCTCCACTAGGCACCATAGGAAACACAAAGGGCAGGAAAGACACAGGTCCTGCTCCCAGACAAACTAGATGGGAAACTTTCTGACACAGGACCAAAGATACTTTGATACTCGTGGGACATCTTCAAGTTTAAATTCCTTGGCTCTGCTGGTTTGCGCAGAGCATGGGCCAGGTCCTAGGGGGCCTCTCTGCTGCATCCAGTGCGCTGTGATGGTAATACACACAACAGCGGATTCTGAACCACATTTTTAATTATCCAATGCTGACTTGTATTGCGCCTGCACTTCTTATCCATCTGGGGAGTGTCACCATGCTCGGCTAATTTAACAAGCAGCATTAACTGGGGCCTGTGAGGAGTGTTCCTCCCAGGACCACCCATTAGGCTGCAGACTCCAGCTGCCCTCCACCACCCCTCCACTTGTTCTGAGCCGGCCGCTCCCCGTGTGCCTACCTCTCCTCCAACCTGTCCCCCAAGTGCCACCAGCAATTTTCCAGATCGCTGAGAAGCTGATGACTTGTTTATGACATAGTGCTGGTGCTTTCGGCTCCTATTTCCATTTACTCTTGATCTTCCAGGACAGCCAGAACAGAAAAGGAGAACTATTTTCCCCAAGTCACAGCCCGGGAGAGTCCTTCCAACGCAAGGTGTCCCTCTGGATTTCCGGATAGAGAGGTGACCACGTCCAGGGAGAGCGAGCAAGCAGAGGCTGGTTGTCTTTGCTCCTCTGAGCTTGAGACTGAGACTTAGGACCTGAGTTGTTATCTCAGCTGCAGGAGGAAAAGAGCAGGGTCTTGCAGGGCACCTGGATCACAGGTCTTTACATTTCCAAGCAGCCAGCCTGGGTCACCCGGGACCTGCCCCTCTTTTCCACCTCCATGTTATTCCAGCCATAAATCCAAGTGACAAGCTTGAACTTTCCTCAATTGACATGTTTACAAGGGAAGTCCACATTTGACAGGAAAATTAAGCCTATCAATCACCTAACGAGCTTGTTAATGAATGGGTCTCTGATCTCCTCTGGTAGTCGGGTTTATTGATTAGAAAGGGGCGGCCCAGGCCCCTCGTCTGTTGCACACTCCCCAGCACCTTCTCTCTCTGCCAGATGTGACTGCCCTCCGACCTCGCTGCGACACTCCAGCCACGTTCCCGCCTGAAACTTGCAGAGGTTCTGGTTCAGGGTTTATCGGGAGGTCAGACCCCCTCCTGTCTGTGTTCTGTGACAGAACAAAGGGAACAGATGCAGCCTCAGAGCACCCACCCAGCATATGGAAGCTATCTCCTCGGTCCCAGTAATTACCCAGGAGCTCGCTTGTTCAATGCCTTTGCTTTTTATTGCTCAGAAACCAACCTATTCCCCAACATAAAACACTTTAACGGTGTCTCCCTCCGGGGTTTCTGGGAGAGGCCCTGTCAGGTATAAAATGTGCAGAACCCCTCTGACAGCCCACCGGGGCAAGGCCTTCCACAATTAAAAGAGGGGGACAGGGCAGGGGGAGGCGGGGCAGCTGGTGGCAGGCAGAGCCAGGCAGTCATGTTCGGAGGTCCACAGCACTCAGGGAAAGCTTCCTGCAGTGCTTAGAAAGGCAGCCGAGGTAAAATCTAAAATCGCAAGCACTCTCCTCTCTCCCATCCTGGCAGGCAGGGAGGGAGAGCCTGAAGCCTCAGTGGGACACCAGAATTCACTATGTACCGATTTCACGCAAGGAGAAAGGGTCAGTGCAGATCATGAAAGAGCTTCGCCCTCAGTCATACTCACTTAACAAAACCTCACAGCTGTGCGCTGATGCTCCTCCAGGAGGCCAGACCTGATGGGTTCATCAAAGGGCAGGAATGGGGAAGTAGAAACCGAACCACAAGGAAGCAGGAAATGGATGGGTCTGAAACCTTGGAACAGCCACTATTCCTGTCCCAAGTGAGGTGGCAGAGAACCCACTGGCTTCTCTCTCAAGTGTGCACTGGGCCCTGAAAGAGGTCGGCAGGATTACAAGTGACCCAAGAGGCTATGTTCCTTTCCTCAGACTGCGTGATAAATTGCATCAACTGGGTGACTTAAAACAACAGAAAAGTTTCCTTCCACAGTGCTAGAAAGTAAGCCTGAAATCAAGGTGTCAGCAGTCCTGTCTGCCATCCAAAGGCTCCATGAAGCCCTCCTGGTCCCTCCAGCTTCTGGCAGTTGCCAGCCACCTCGGGCTTCTGGCTGCCTGCCTTCTCAGGCCCATCCTCCTGTGTCCGTGGGGCCTGTACTCATCTTACAAAGACGTTCATCACCCTCAGCCAGCGTGACTTCGTCTCAGCTAATTACATTTCCAAAGACCCTATTTCCAAACTGAGCCATGTGCTAAGATCCTGGACACAAATTTTCAGAGGATCACCCTAGAAGGGAAGGTGGGAATGGACTGCAGGAGTCAGAATGAGGGCTGCCCCGGTCCTTCATCCTTCGGTGTGAAGTCTCAGAATGTGGGTACCCAGGTCTTCCCAGGCCCAAGGGGACGTGGGGGAGTAAGGGAAGTGCCAGCAAAGACAGGAGAAGAATTGTGCTAAGGTAAATTGCAAATACTAAACAATATGAAGACAGCAATTTAAGTGTTTAAAATGTGCTCTGGTAATTCCAAACAAATTTTAAGGCCATTTCCAGACCATAAAACCTTCTGGTCTAAATCAGCAGCTCGAATGCAGGCCCAGGCGCTCAGGCTGTAGAACCTCCCCCAGATGGAGGCTGGAAGGCTTGGGAGTCTTCAGCTAATCTGGTAAATGGATGATGATTCTTCCCAAAGACTGGAGAGTGGCCTTCTCCACCTCTCCAAGCA